AAAAAAAAAATAAATAGAATAAAAAATAAAATGAATTCCCAAAAATTAGATAAATGCATTTAAAAAAGCTATTTTTCTGTTTTAAAATAATAAAATCTGAAGAAAATCTAGTTAAAATAAATAGAACTAAGTAAGTTTATAAAAATTGAATTAATTGAAAAATATACTCTCCTACTTAAAAACAAATCTAAAATTTAAAGGAAAATTCAATTAACGAATAAAACTAAATTTAATTAAAAAAATAAACAAATACTTAAAATAAGTTTCCAAAAACTAAAATAAATTAAAAAATTATATACTTCTTTTAAAAAAATAAAATCTTAAAATTAATAGGAAAGTAAATTAAAAAAAGATAAAAAAAAATTTTTAAATGCTGCCCTGAAGTTCAAACATGCTCGTGCTTTGCTCACTCTGCCATTGCGACTGTTAGAGCAGCGCGAGCAAAATTGTATACATACATCTTCATTTGGCACATGGTCAAGTGCTTTCTATCCAAAGAGCTTTTCACCTTGAAAGTTGGCTTGTTTTTGTAAGACTTTCTTGGCTACTGTCTTTCAGTTATCTTACAAAATACCGGAATTGCCTTATTAGCTTATACTTATATAGGGTGTCCAAGAAGTACCATGCTAAACAAGAGGAGAAGGTAGGTGGGGGTGAGATCCCTGAAATGCAAAAACTTATCACCGTTTTTGAAATATTGATATTTTTTCATAAAAAAAATCGGGCCTTTTCATGTATATATTTTCTTTAACTGCGCGTACAAACAAGGCTATACTTAGTAAATTTTTTCTGTAAAATACTTCCCAAGTACAAAAGTATATTACTACCTGCTCCTGACAATATTTTATGATAATTAAAAAAATTAATAATAATAATAATTAAAGTGCTCGACATTTTTACGAAAATTTATCGATTTTTTTAAATATTTCACAAAGTTTGAAACTACGATTTATACGGGTTTTATTAAAGAATAAGGTATATTTTTATGAAAAGAATAATTAAAATCGAACAATAATAAAATAAATATTCAAAACTTCTCAATATGTGGGTGTCCTATACTATAGTCATCTATTATCATCTATAGTTACCAGCGCTTGTGTTAAGAGAAATGTATTTAGTTGACGTAACTAAACTCTTTAATCGGTATAATTATTTTATAGCATTTCTGCATACTTAATTAAAAAAATAATAATAATTTTGCATACACATATGTGAATCTATAACTCAACTTAAACTATGGAAGTATATATGGGAAGTATATATGCGGAGGAATGCACATTTATATCATCTTTCTTGTTTGACAGTTGGTTGAATTATTCAATTCTTTAGTCACTTTCATTTCCGTTTCTGCGCCATATTGACGTGGGAAAAGCACGTGCGTTGTACGAGACGCCATACCATGTCAGACGCCTAAAAATATGACATTGGAAAAACATATGCATCTACATAGTTTATAAGTATGTACATGTCCTTATGTGCATTAGGGTGGGTCGAAAAACACAATATGTTTGATACGAAAGAAGAAAAGAAATTCTGTTTCTCTGCGACAATATCTTCAGTCTGCGGGATGAGCTTGAAAATTAAAAAAAAAAGAGCGGGAATGCCAATTTTTCAAATATTTATAACGACTTGTGTAGATCAAATCCCAAACTTAGTACCTTCATGAAATCATAAAAAAAATTAATTGGGTAAATTAAAAGAAAGTAACATCAAATTTTTAAGAAATTACTGTTTATTTCATACCAAATTTATTAATTGATTAAAATATTGATGTCACTTACTTTTAATTCGCTCAATTTATTTTTTTATGATTTTATGACAGGAAATAAGTTCCGGATTTGATGTACACAAGTTAAATTAAAATTATTGGTATTCCCACTCTTATTTTCAATTTTAAAGCAGATTCCGCAATACAATTTTCGTATCAAACATTTGTGTTTTTCGACCCGCCCTAATGCGGGTACATAGGTAGATACATGCATTTTTATTGGCGTTCATCACTGAAGGAACAATGAAGATAATTGTCTAAAAAGCATAATGTAAATTGTGTTTTAGCTACACCATTTAGGAGGAAAATATTTTATTTTATTGCATTCAATATTTCCTAGAGTCCTGTTATGCCTACTTCGTTTTCCAAACTAACTCTATCCCTTTACTAATCACTCAAATTTCAACATATAATTCTTCATCTCATTATTTATGTTTTACTATTTGCAGCCATACCAATTTTCTACATTCTGGCCATTGTGCCTGGTCTCATGCCATGGGAGCAAGAATATCGTTTCTTATCGTTTTGCCACCTTGCCGGTTCGGTGGCGCCATGGTGCGGCAGTTTTTTCTATCATCTCTTCATGAATATTGACCGAGGCGAACATGTTTACTACAGGTTGCTGAAATTGGATATGGTCGGCATATGGGTTAGTCAAAGTTTTGGTAAGTACAGAAAAATCACACTTAGTTAAGTAATCTTGTCCATAAATATTTAGGTACTTTATTTTCAATATTTCAACTAGCAAAAACAAAATTGCTGAAACATGAAGACATTATTATTATTATTATTTTAATGATAACTGATGATGAGAAATGTTTTCTGTACAACAACGCAACCGATCTTGGGCGAGAGATAATGGTTCACCTTTAATAAGGAGGACTTCAACAAAGGAAGGTTGGAAGTGATCTCCATGGAACCGACCAAACAACTCGGATGAGTACCGTTGGCAATTAGAAGGCTTTAATAAAGCGACTTTCGTTGCTTTGAGCTAATCAGCACTTTTGCCCAAATGCCCAATGTCATTTGCTCAATTTGGTGATTTCCCCATATAATTCGATACCCTTCGGAGGTTGTCAATCGTAAAGGAGTGGTGTCGAGATGGCACACATCTGATGGAGGACACGTTGCCTAGGGTGGTGCAAAATAAGTAAAGTCGGAATTTTAATGCTATTTATACCCAATTTTTTTCTTTTTTTTTTTGAAATCAAAAAATATTTAGAGGTCGCTCAAGGCGCTCTCAAAGTTTTCCATGTATTTTATGTGGGGAAAAAACACTTTTCGTAGAAAAAGTATAGAATATAACGCCCAGCATACTCGACTTAACTTGCTCCGTCAGACCTCCGCTGGTTTCTTATCGACAAATAGGTATACTAGTGGGGCCACTAGCAGCCAGTTCAAGCTAACCTATCACTCTTTGAAACTAATTGTCATCTTTTCCAGCAAAGCTAGTGTGGGGAGTAAATTTTTGTAAAGAATATTTCCTGCTATAGAGCTAACATTAACACTAACATTATAGAGCTAACAGCGCTGCGTCATTTAAACATAAATCATATATGCTAACCCCTTAAAAGTTCACTCCAACGTTAGGGTATTGTTGAAATAAAGCACTTAGGAGCATTTAACCTTTTGCGTTTTTAAAAAAACCTGCGCTACTGTGCGATGCATATTTTGGGAAACCTTGCTGAAAATACTCCAATTTTGTAAAAGCATTAGAAAATTTCTGCGCATAAGGGCATTTAGCAGAAAGATTTATATTAACAAAAAGGATTTTGTAAAACAAGTACAAAACGGGAGAATTATATTTAGGTAATTTTTAGTCCGATGATTCCGAGTATATCCTTAGTTTTTAAAAATTCGCTTTTAGTCAACATCGGGCAAGTCTTTTAGCATATTTATATATAAAGAAAAAAATGAGTGGGATGCAATGAAGGTTGAACTATTTTTTTCAACAAACTAGATGGTGAAATCACAATCAGCGAGCTCAAATACCGAGTTCAAGAGACTTAAACCACTTTATTTGAAAATAAAAAATTGAAAACAGAATCGTAATTTTGAAAAAATTTTTTTACCAGCTTGTTTGATTTTCCGACCACTGTGTGGAACCACGCAAAAGCTCTCTCTCTCTTTCATAATTATGTTTCCAAAGTTCTGTGTATTATTTAATTTTACTTACAAGTAAAAGCACTTGATAACAGTGCGAACTCACTCATTTAATTAAGATTAAATTGTTTGCTTCTATTATTAGTATAAAACATAAACATATACATGTGTATTTACCATAATTAATGGGAAGCATAACAAATTGGCATTGAACTTCTTGATTCCATATGTAAATATTATCATCACTTCCGCAAATCGATTACAAAAAAAAACAAATAATATTCCGACGAATTGATAACATGCTTCTTTTTTGTAATCGGTTAAAAAGAACAATAAATAAAAATAAATCAACTTAAATGTTATGTATGTAAGAAATTTATTAAACTACTCATAACCCGTTTACACATAGCTACTTGTGCGAATATGTAAATAGGTATACTCGAATAATACACCATAGTTAGGAACTTTGCTCGCAGCTGCTAATTTAACCGTGCACCGTGCCCTATGCAAACCTTAACCACAAGTATACCTGCGAGCAATTTGAGCACTCTTACAAAACTGACGGAACTAAGAAAAAACCAAGTGGTTCAATAAATTACACACTTTCGCCTCGGATTCATTCGTACATCCGCTCGACACTTGAATTCCAAAGCGAATTCATCAAAATTTGACAGCATCGCAACAACGCGCACCTCCTCAGGCGCATGTTGATCGATGGCAACTAAAATTTGCCGCCAGTTTCGATTCACATCGGTACACCAAACTTGCGCCAAACTCACGAAAAACAATTGACGCGGCGTGAAATCCATATTCGGCAACGTTTCCTGCAGTAACGCAGTCGAATTGTGACTTTGTTGCACCAACCATTGCTGGAAGGCTGCATAGGCAATACGCACGCCCACATTGTCGGCGATATTCTCATCTTGCGCATTTGTTTTCGGCAATTTGCGTCCGTTGTAACGGTACTCGCCATACTGTTGCTTGAAACAGTCCTTGCGCTTGGCGAACTCTTCGGTAGAGCTGCGATCCCACCAATTGTTCAAATTACCCTTGGCATCGTATTTACGTAGTATGGCATCGAAGCCATGCGCCATTTCGTGTGCCAGTATAAAGCCAATGGTACCGTACTTCAGTGTAACGGGATAGGCGTTGTCCCAGAGAAAGAGCGGCTGCAGGAATGCGACTGATATAAGCACTTTATTATATTCAGCCGCGTAAGCAGGCGTGAAATTAAGCGTTTCTGCTTCATCCAACTTTGGTGGCTCCATCAAACGTAGGCGATAATTGCGACCACGTACCTCTAAGATATTGATGACGTTATCAAAGTATTGGTCTGTGCTGATGACCAGATCACCATAGAGTTGCTCGAAGTTTTCCTTTTCATATGCATTTATCTCCATTGACATGGCCGAGAGTTTTTCCAATGCTTTATTGCGCGTTACTTCCGACATCCAATCGCTATCAGCTGATTGCAGTAGATCACTAAATGAACTTTTTAACTCTAACCATAGACTTTGCAGCTCAGCAGTCATGCCCTTATTATGCGCAGATAGTTGCTGAAATACCATGCGATCTAGGTATTTGACGAAGAAGCGTTTCATACGATCGACACAACGATTTTGATGTTTCACATCTGAGTCATTCGCTTCCATACGGAAATCCTGCAATAGCTCCCACATAATGTAATTGGCCACGACCTCTTTGGGCGTATCCTCGATAACTTTACGCAAATTGTCCAGATATGTTTCGACATATTCGTAAACGGGCAGCACATATGGATGTCCCAGCCAAACGTTGACAAAATGTGTGAAATTCAGCGTTGGTTTGTAATTCTCCGTCATTGCCTCCAGTAGCGTCAATTGTGCTTTGTCCTCCATGCCCAAGCCCTTCGTGGCATCGAGCTTTCCTGCCGCAAGTCGCTTTTCGAAATCAACAATCTCCATTGCTGTCTGGGACGCCAACTCCATTCGCATGCCCAGTATCTCGTGCATCTCCAATTGCCTGGCCAACGCTAAGGCCACATAAGTAGTCGGTCGCGCGCGCTGTTACCAACTTATCCAGTTGTCCCAAGTATAACCGATTCAATTCGTTATTGGTCAGGTCGGCAAATATGTCTGCACCAATAATGATTTGTTTGCCATATTTGCGCAGAATGAGTGCAACAACTTCCAGCCAATCGAATTTATCTGGCTGCCATTGTTCGCCCTTCAACGCTGGCATGCCACCAAACTCCTCCAGCACGGAAAGCAACTTCTGACGATAGTTCTTACGCAATTCCGCTTTATTCATACACGATTCAAAGAAGTATTTTACCTTGCGATCCATCTCTGATTCGTTTGTGCGCTTGGGTTCGCGCATCAAACGCACCACACGCCGGTTATAGGCCTTCTTGAGTACATTGAAGATGCCTGTTTTGCCATCCGAAAAGCTTGCCGGATTGATTCTTAGGCCAATTCCGCAAGAGTAACGATAAAAGTCATCGCACGCATCCACTTGTGGCTGCATATAATTTCGCATTTCTGCAGATTTTGAGCGACGCAGAAGATTCACGCTCCAAATTCGTATGGAAATCGGTGGTGTGAATGTGCCGCACGGCAAAGGCGAATGTAAAACAATAACAACATAGAGCGTAATACAAACGGCAAAAGGAACCAAAACTGCTGTTTGGTTGTTGAACACATTTTCGAAACGACTACCGATTTCGGACTGATGCTTTACATTTTTTGTACTTCACGCTTAGAAAGCGCGACTGTTTCATTTCGTATTTGGTTTGTTTACAAACACGCGAAAGTCGGGAAAGTGCTGTCGGCCGAATTTAATTCGGAACTGGCCAGAGGTTATCAGCCGCTTATACATGTGTGTACATACACCTACATAAGTACTCGCTTTAACACAATGCATATACATATGTACTTATATTTGTTCTCAATTAGCAGATCAATAATGTACTCGAACGGTGATTGTATTTTTATGCGAAGCTGTTTTTCATGGCAGAAATACACTCGGAGGTTTGCCATTGCCTGCCGTGGGGCGACAGATGTTAGGAAAAACCCAGGAACCCGCTTGAACCCAGGTGCCACGGAGTGGAAACGCGCACTGCTTACTACTACACCACAGCAGCCGCATTTTTATTTTAGGTGTGCGTATAAATAGTACTACGTAATTACAGCGAACAACATCCCAATAAACGTTGAAGTAAGCCCTTTTAACAATCAATATTTTCCAAACGGTTTTTAAAAAAGTTTTCCAAACTAGTTTGTGAAATATTCAGCGACCTTAACAGTTATAACTTTTATTCAAAAAATAACTTTTTAATGGTTATTTACTGAGTTTTATTTTCAGAGGTAGTTAAAATTATTGAAAAAAGTTCGACATTTTTTCCGAAAAACCAACAAATTTTAAAAAATTGTATATAATTGGATAATGGAAAAAAGTTCTGAACTAAAACGATGTTTGCATGTATGTACATATTTATAAAAAAAAAAATTATTCGAACAAAAAGGTGGGTAGGCACAAGGGATGCCAACTCATTTTATCTTTCTCCCCGTTGGCCAACGCGAAATTTCACGATTTTCGGTGAAATTCCGCGCACTAGCATGATTCCATTAAAAAAAAACTCAAATTTTCTAATTCAATTGCTCGAATGTATTAACGAATGTACATATAATATTTTAATGTTAAATTTTTTTGATTAAAATATGTCTTATGTATGTATAACGTATGCTATATAAGTCAAAGTTTAAAACTTTAGGCAAAACTCACAAAACTTCAACAAATTAAAACCAAATTTCATCAAAATTTTCAACTTTTTACTCGTAATTTTTAAAAGCCAATGGGCGCGTTTCTAAGACGTAGCTGTCGCTAAACTGTGGAGTGTTTGTTTCAGAAACGTACAGTTGAGTAGTTCCGCTTAGCTCAACGGTTGGAAACTTTACGCCATTTTTCCATCATAAACTTATTTCGCTACATGAAGTCAACAATTTATATAAGTCAAAAATGATGTTTCCCTTCCGTCAGTTTTCATAGAAAATTCAAATAAAAAAATTATTTGTCTGTAAATTGCACAGCTGAGTATTCTGCACTCTAGGTACGTTATTTAATGATTCCCCGCAAGGTGGCATCGCTGGTAGGCACTGTGGCCAGCCGTAAATTTTATTTACCACCTCTGCATGGTTGTAATTCATGCAGAGTCCGCAAAATGCTCCGGATGGTTGTCCGAATGATGCATCAGACTAGGCCGAACATTCTTTGAACTGCCATCAAATTATAACTTAAGAAAGTTTTACTACATGGCAGTTGAGAAGTGCATGTTCAAATTTTTCATAAACTTAATGAATGAAATTTTCGTACATGCAGCAGTACATAAATAGAATGCATTTAGGCGCATGGTGTTAGCAGTCGCGCCTAAAAAGTATATTAAAAATTGTTTTTTCAAACACGGAACACAATTGATAAATAAGAGATTAAATACTCTGACTAACATTTGGAATATTTTTTAAGTTTTGAAATTAAGTTTTGGGCGTTTTAACGCCATGCGGGTTCACTAGTAATGTGGTATTTTTATCTTTTCGATTAATGCATTTGCTCTTGGCGTTGAGTTGGACAAATTTTGCTAGTTTTTCATTAATTTAAAATTTAGAAAAAAATAGAGCCTATTGTTATGCCATTATCGGGCAAGACTTAAAAGTTGCGGAATGAAAAAAATATAGAAGAAAATCAATCGATACGTTTTTTTTGGAAATCAACATTTTATATTAAAAATTTTTAAATTTGATAGAAATACGGGTTTGAAAGATCTTTCAATTTTAAATGCCGAAAAAGTTTTGAAAATATTTTTCTCAAAACCATGGGCATTACAACAAACACGAACTGGACAACATTTTTTTTACCAGGCCTCTTTCAATTGATACTATCACACAAAAAATTTAAAAAAAATCGAAGATGCAAATGGCAAATGTATAAATTTATGTCATTGATATTTCCTAATGTGGAAATTTTTTTGGGAACTAAATGACGGGGCTAATAAGCTACAAAAAAATGCCATTTAAGTATTTACCTGCTATTTTTATATAAATTTTTTTTTCTTTTCAGGTGCTTTGCCGCTAGTCACAGCTACGACGTTTTGCTTTAACTTTACATTGAAATGGTTCATCATAATATCGTACTGCTTGCTATCTCTTTGGGGACTTTATAAAGTGAGTACATATCTGCCAACTACATAAGCATCATCATAAATTGCGTATGTACTTAACCACTTTGATAAATATGAAAATGAATATGTATGTATGTATAGGAAAAAACTTATTAGAGTGAATAAAAATTAAAAATATTTTCCAACTGTCATAGAAAAATGTAGAAATATACATAATCACTACTTTCAGCGGCACTTTTTTGCCGCCTGTGTACCGTTGATAAATATAATTACTCATACGCCTAGGCAGGTACTTTTTCGTGGCGTATGAGCAATATTTGTGCATTAAGGGCCAGTTTCTCCATATCTGGTTAACACTAACTACAGTTAAACATCTTTATCGACGTTATCGACTCCCTAATATCTGTTATGGAGCCGATCACGTTGATAACGATGTTTAACCTACAGTTATACTAGGTTCACATATAAGCAGATTATCCTCATTTTCGAGCTTAACACCCTAATCTGTAATTATAACAAGAGATTAGCCATATAAAATTCCTCCCTTGTTAATCTGTAATTATAAAATAATCTCAGATTTAACCGATAACTTAGTGTTAACTGGACAATAAGGAAACTGGCCCTAAAACTTCAATAATTGGCAATAACTTTGTACTTTTGTATGTATGTATATACGTAAACATGTATTACTGCCATCTTTTGGAAATTTGCCTAAAATATTCGTATCGAACCTAATTCTCTAAATGCACAAAAGAGCGAATACCAATAGAAAAGTGTTTTTCTTTGAATACTCTATGGTAGAAGGCTGCCGGCCTGCCAACTTTGCTCAAAGCGTGCCATTTTTGGCCCTATTTTACTTCAAAATGGCACTTTTGGAAAATAGTACTATTTCCTTTGATATCCTTTGCGTCTACTTCTTTTGCTGAACTAAATTTTTTTAATTTTTAAAGTTTATACAACTTATTTATCTTATTTTGGCATTTCACATTTGTTTTAGAAATTTCTTATTTTATTATTAAATGGGAAAGATTGGCACCTTTCTTGGCTTTTCTATTTTTCTGTTTGGCACTTTTTTATCCTCAATATGGCATCTCATAGCTAAGCGTTGTTGGCAGCTTTGGAAGTCTTACTCTGTAGGTAGCAGAGATTAGTGGTGTAGTGAAGATAAATTCGAATGCCCAGAATTTGTGAATTATTTCATTCTCCGATTGAGAGTGAGAGAATTCGGAACTCGCTTAGAAAAACAGAAAATCGATTTAAATAAAGTTTAGTGTGTGCTTATTTTTAAGCCTTTGCAGATATAAAAAAAAATCGAGATTTTTATTTTGTGGCTTATTTAAAAGTGTAAAATATTCTAGCCTTATCGGGCCAATCACAATTTTGACGAATAATCAACTTCCCCAAATCTTCAAAGTTTGTGCAATAATCTGCTGATATGTGGGAATTGTTTAATATAAGGCAAAGCCAGGGGCCGTAAAGGTTAGTTTTTCGATCAAGAATAACCGTTGCTTTCAGATTTAATTTTTTAGATCATAAAAGATTTAAAACGGTCGCCTCCATTTAATAGTTAAAAATTATCGAAAAAACTACAATATAACGAAGAAATTTCACCGAATAAAAATTGAAATTTTACGATACGATTATCCTTGATCGAAAAAATCATAAAACAACAAGTTTTAATGATCCAAAAATATGAATTTAAAATATTATCATGTAATTTTACATAAATAAATTCGCTAAATTAACTCGAGATTAACTTTTGATTGAAACCGAAGAAATTTTACTGCTTCAATTAAAATTGATTACTTCACTAATTTTCACGGTACTTAATAAATTGCATTCTAATGCCAAATATTTAACCATTTCCCGTTTGTATCCGTTTAATTTTGGTCTTCACAATACAGGCCCTAACTGCAAGTTCACCTTGGCAACGGCGTCTTTGCTTCGCTCTACCCTTCACTATGCGTTCAATATTGACGTTATTTCGCACAATAGGTGTATGGGTTGGTGGAAGTCGGTTAGCGCTTTCGCACGTTTATCTGCAGGTGAGTGCCGGAAGTAAAAAAAAAAAAAAAAANAATAAAAGTAGCAAATAAATTTCTTCTAAACTCTACATTTTTATTGCTGCAATTTATTATTTGCGCCCTCGCACCTTTTTCGTATTTCCTTTGTCACGGTGCATATTTTTTTTTTTTGAATTGAGCATTGAGATGCTCTACGCTTTTTTACTTATATATATGTACGTATGTATATATCTAGGAAAAATAAGCTTTTTTGCTTTTTTAATAACTATTTAATTCAATCAAGACGAATGAAATATTTCTTTGACTTTTAATGAAAAAGTAAACTTCGTTTATATCCCTCTCAATCCTTTTTTATCAAATATTGTTTTAACTACATATATTCTTTTTAAAGAACTTTATATTATAAAAATTTAATCACCTATATGCTATAGCAAAAATATCAATATTCGCTACTTGATCACTGATATGAACTATTTATGTTTCTGTGCTTCTACTCTTCTTCTTAAACATAAATGCTACCAAAATATCACAAAAATAACAAAAATTCCAGTTAGAAGCAGTGAGTGATATTTGTTGTAAATTCGTGAATTGTTTTTTTGTTTTAATTGGCGTGAATTTAGTTAGTGCGATATTATTCGTTAATTTTCGAAGAGAGTCTTTAAGAGTTTTAATTATTGAAAGTGCACTCACAAATATATTTACATTAAATAAAGCCAATAATGGCTAAAAGGCACTAAAAGAGGTTTCCGATAATTGTATGCCTCGCGCTTTTTACGAGTACGAGGATTATTCAAACTGATTTAGTCTTTAGAAAAACTCCGTGCGAAGGCGTGAATAAAAAAATCGTATTTTTGCGCGCGCTAACTTAAAATTTAATATAGTGGGCTGAAATTGTGCCACAAGCAATATTTTTGTCGTTTTATTTGACAAAGTCTAATGTAAATATTTTAGAATTGTATTTCGAGAGAACTTTGGCGTTATAAGAATGTTCGCCCTAGTCACGCTCATAGCTTCAAGGTGTGATACTTCAAAATTACTTTTCAGCGCTATTTTAATCCGACTCCCCTGTAATCTTTTTGTACTATTTTATTTTCTTTGTTTTTACAGTTGAACACAAACAAAATTTAATACAAAATATTTTAACATTTGAATTTGTTAGTTGTGCCGGCTCAAGTCAAATGTTTGTGGAAAATTAAAGCATACGTTTTTTTTTTATTTTTCTCCGATATATATCGGTTACACCGCAGTAACCCTCTTCAGCTCTGACAGTTTTTAAATCTTATTGAACGCGTTTTTCACACAAATTAAGCTTCAATTCGACGTTTCTCTACATCCAAATCGAAGTCACCGATTTTTACTAGAGTTTATTTTGCACAGCTCTTAAGGATTGTGCTCAAACAACTTATCTGCTTCCTCCTCACTGCCATACTCACCGATTTATTCAACTAGTATAAAATTAGATACATTAATTATATTTTCACGATTAAACATTTTCAAGATAATTTATATTTCCACGATTTTTATTTTTAGAAGAAGAATAATATTTTTCATTGCATTTTCCACTGCAGTAGCTAACAGCCATCCTTAATTTAGGGCGCTAAGCGTTGCGTTTTCTAGCGCCAACGAGTGACAGCGCGCGTTATCTCTAAATAGGCACACACACTTTCAGACGTTTTCTCATTTCCTTTGGTTTTTTCGTTCTCACTATTGTCCTATTTATAAAGAAAATTACATAACGGCTATTTCTACAGCGTGTCTAGGACGGAAATTTGTGTTTTGTAATATTTCTCTCAGAATACCTTAACAATAAACAATTTGCCAAAATCTCGATTAATCTTTATATTAATTGCGAAATTTATATAGAAGTCATGCCACAATATGGTTTGGGAATAAACCTTTAAGCAACAGATCTATTAGCTAACCAGGCGAGAATATGTATTACATAAATCTTCTCATCTCACTACTAGTAAAAATACTACATTGTCTATTCTATCTCAATAAATGTGACCCTTCTGTGACCGCTCCTCTACATTTACGGTCAAGAAGTACAAAGAGAAAATGTGTATAATTAAAATCGTGTGCAAATCTGAGCCCAAACACCGGGTATGTATTTTTTGTGTGGTGACAATCCTAAACATTCACCTAAAAAGTAATTCAGGTCACCAACGTCATTAGACCGTAGCCGCAATTTAATGATGCACACGACAATCGACACGCACTTGTCACCCTGACGATAAAAGGAGCGGTTGCCAAAATGTTCGCTATACCGTTAAATAAACTTTCACTTAAACACAACTACAAACATAACGGCACTTACAAAGTTTGTTTACTTGTATATATGTATAGATACATACACGATATGTATGTATGTATGTGTGTGAGCGCACTTTCAAAAATTAATTAGAAACTCCAATTTTCGCTTTAAAGATTAGTTATACACAACTAAATAATTCACTAGTAGTTTGTTGTACTAATTTGTTAAGAATCAGGGGTCTATTAAAACGTACTTAAATTATCCTCTGTCCCAACAGGATGGCGTTTCAATATTGGGTGGCGCTATAGGCGCAATGCGAATACCAGAAAAATGGTTTCCAGGCGTTGTGGATTTCTATTTAAATTCGCATAACATTATGCACGTGCTGGTGGTGGTTGCGGTGTATTCAATGCATAAGGTAAATGTCATTTAAATGTCATTAAATATGTATACCACATATACATATGTAAACGCATGCGGTGCTAGTATGTATGTACATTAGGGCGGCCCAAAAATGCATGCGTCGGGGAGAAAAAGTAAAGTCGGAATTTGTATGCTCTCATATCATATTGTTCTATATCGAAAAAAAAAATTAGAGGTCGCTCAAAGCGCTCAACGTTTTGCCTGTATTTTATATGGAAAAAAACACTTTTCGTCGATATGGTATAGAATGCATGAAAATCAATATTTTGTCGAGCGGAAACCTGTTTCTCTTCAAAAGATTCCCAAAAATAATACCCAATTGTTTATTAAACCATTTTTTATAACAACTATAATTTTACAGGTCCGCCAAAAACGCTAGAAAATGCAATGGGGGCCATTAAAAATTCTTTGGTATTACAAAAAGTTACAAAAAAAAAACAATTTGATATTATTTTGGGCGTCTCCAGAAGAAAATTAGATTTTTGCGCGTAAAAAAAAATGATTTTCAAGAATCTATACCATTTTACAAAACTTATTTTTCCCATATAACATACATGAAAACTTTGAGTACTTTGAGCGTCCTCTAAATGTTTTTTTATTTCAAAATAAAAAATAGGCGTATAGTCGTTTTTCCAGATATAGAAAAAATTTAATTTTTGTTTTACCACCCCAATGTACATACATACATATGTCTAACTAATTCAAATTTATTTTAATATTCCAACAGGCAACTATAAAAGACTTTGAGTGGATGTCGGCAACGAAATGTGATGCTGCTGTTGCAAATGACACCGGCGTAGCAATAGATACTACTTTTACCTCAAATGTGGAACTATGACCTCTTAACATTCGAAAAAAAGTATTATGTAGAAAATTATCAGATTATAGTTATGTATGTATTTCAGTGCAACTATGTACATATATGTATATATACATATTGAATTGTTAAATTTAGAATGCCCAAAAATAAGAAATAGGCAAATTTTAAAAGATAAGTATTCAATGTTTTTGCAATAAAAAATATATAATATTTAGAAAAATATTTAGTTAAAAAATATATACTATTTATAATCAAGTATGTAAAACAAATTTGGTTATTGGAGGCGGCAGTGAGATTTTATAAATCGCTACGCTAAATGTCCACTGCAAGTCCAGTGCTATATGTAAATTAATAAATGACAGATGTGCTTAAAAATATACAAAACCTCGAGAGTAATATCACTTGCCTCTCTTAAATCCCATTTAATATTGCACCACTTAAGCTTTCGCTTTGTAAGTATATTTTTGAGCACACCTTTTACTCATTTAAGGATTAGCCGCTTATCGATTTTTAGAATGCCATAACGGGTAAATTGCAGAACAATTGCATTGCGAATACTTGGCAGCGCCTACAAATAATAATGCAATAAATTATAATTTACTCTTAGAAAAATTATCTCCAAACATATACATACGTAAATATTATATGTAGAACTAATTTTAATTCGAGTATTAGCCATGAATAACAAACATAAAAATGTAAGTATTTAAAGAACAAAGCGTATTGTCAATAATTAAACGTTAAGCAAAAAATTAAACCAGTGAACACTACACTTCGTTCCATGACTATATCACCACTTGAGTTTGCCAATTATGCTAAAATGAATAGGCTGGTGAATAATATAATGTTAATCGAAAATAAATGATTTAACAACTAAAAACCAACAACGATATTTTCTTTCAATTTGGGGTTGATTTTTTACAAGTGGAACAAACAATTAAATATACGATTGTTTTACAAATATATCACCATTAGTTGTGCTCTTACCTTTCTGGGGTTTTTAACACTTTATCAAGTAAATGTATTTCGGCGCCTGAGTGGAAAGTCTATCTTCTATAAGTTAGATTTTTTCATCACTTTTATTCTCAAGCTTATTGTGGAGCTGTACTCTTACTTACGTGATTTTAGTGCAGAAATTATTTTGGAGTGGGACGTGGTGTTATAGTTATGATACGGAGTGTATATATACATATATACATATGTAGGTACATAGTAAATTATGCAGATTCATAGACACACATTTATATATGTACGTGCCGTACATAATACATCTAAAATTAACTCTACAACTGTGGTATTACATTTTAAGCTAACAACAAAAAAATGTGAAAGAGTAAAACATCTAAATACATACATACCTGTTTAACAAAGCAACAATAATTAATTATATTTTACTGTAANGCATCTAAATACATACCTGTTTAACAAAGCAACAATAATTAATTATATTTTACTGTAAAAATCTTTATATATATAATAAATAATTGTACATACATACATACATATGTACATATGCAGTGCACTGCAGGGACGCTAAAATGATACAAAAAACGCCGAGACAAGTATACTTAAATCTGGGGCGTAGATTGCGGATATGTACACCATTTTCCTAGCGAAGGTCATTTTCCCAAGATGTTTTCATTTAAAATTCAAACTCGAATATGGAAAATGATGTTACTCATACGCCATGTACGAGTACGGCTATGCACGTTATGNCATATGTACATATGCAGTGCACTGCAGGGACGCTAAAATGATACAAAAAACGCCGAGACAAGTACTACATATACTTAAATTTGGGGCGTAGATTGCGGATCTGTACACCATTTTCCTAGCGAAGGTCATTTTCCCAAGATGTTTTCATTTTAAGTTTGCTTTACGAATGAAAAAAATTCAAACTCGAACATGAAAAATGATGTTACTCATACGCCATGTACGAGTACGGCTATGCACGTTATGGCGTATGAGTAACATTATTACCTGCTCCTATTTCATACAAAAAAGTTATTGCACATTTTCATTTAACCATTCAAAAGTTGTTTATTTATGCATCGATTTTCATGGTCAGTAGCTTAACTTTTTTGCAAAAGAATGGGCTTTCCTGTTACAATTTAGGAAAATGTTATACAGATCCATAAACTACAACCCAATATTAAGTTCACGTGTTACGACATTTTTTTGTGTAATTTTCCCTACAGTTTCTAATATTTTAGCAAATTTTAAAAATTTTTGTAATTATTTTTTTATTTTTATATTTTAAAACAATTAAAAACTAAAAACGTAATGCTTTAGTCATTAACGTTTGTAGCGTGTTCCAATAGCGTGGGCCGAAAATCCGCTTTTTTAGAATTTTAATTGGTAATAGCAAAAATATGGTTCATTATGTTCTAAAAACAATCTGTGTGAAATATGGGATTTTTTGGTCAATAACTTAGGCTCGCCCAAAATTAAATAAAACAAAAAATTAATAAATACAAAAATAATTAATAAATTTATTTTTTATAAAATTGCAATTATCTCCGTAAATATTAGTCCTACAAAATTCGGTATATGGACCTTTTTTGTAGAGAATCGAGATAAGCAAAGAAAACATGTTTTTACCACCACTTGAACTTTGATGGCCAGCCTAAGATATTGACCAAAACTTGCCATCTTTCCCACAGAATGTTTTTAGAGCAGAGTTCTAAAAAAGTGGATTTTCGCCCCATGCTAGTGTTCAAATACATACTGTCTGCATTTTGTGAGAAGAGTGCGCACAAAAATTTGTTTTGCAAAATGGGAGCACGTTCGACAGATGATCAGGAAAATTGGTGAGATGGTTGGAATAAAAGGTTCTACCGTGCAGATGATATTCCGATTTGTCTGCGAAAGTATAGCCCACGATAAGGGAAGAAATGCCCCAATAAAATATTCACTTCAACGGAGGGACGCTATATTGTCCGTAAAATCCGGACAAATCCAAAACTATCACCTACGAAAATTCAGTCATTCACTTATCGATAATTTTTCGATTTTGTTATCGATAATTTATCGATTTTATTATCGATTTTGTTAAAAAAAATTGATCGAGGTATTTAAGGAAATCGATTGGCGGATCACGCTGATCGTAAAATATCTTAATGGCCGCAGACATCATTGATCCATGAGCTGGCTCCATTGAGGCTTACTTCAGCAATAACGGCCGCTCCGGGCAATTCGGCCGAGCGGAAGTAGATAAGAAGATCGCATTTAGGCTGTATACAGCGCTTGGGTCCATTTTTGCTAAA